AAAAAAAAAAAAAAAAAAAAAAAAAAAAAAAAAAACACATCATAGTAAAACCAATACCTTCTCAGCTTCGCATCGAAGCTAAAATATATATAATCATTCAGTTATTTTTAATAAAGTTATGGCAATTTTAAGTAAAAAAAATTGAAAAAATGTCGAAAATTATCGATTTTTAAATTTGAAATTTTTTGGGAGATATCCCCCGTTTACAGGGAACGAGAGAATTTTTTTCAAGTTTTGAGGCTAATGTCTTCGACTAGATCTTTTGACATATTTTCCATCAAAATTGGTCCAGCGAGAGCTGAGATGGAGCGTATACAGACACAAAAAAAAAAAAAAATAATAAAATAAAAACCTAGGGTGCAAAAAAATTACCGGGAAAACAAGAAAATTACTTTTGTGTGTTTCTGAATAGTAACGGGTTGAAATTTACATAACCGTAATTTCTAAAGCTCGTGTACAAAATTGTACGTGACGTTAGGTGACAAAGTGTCACGTGGAGTAGGTGTGTCAAGCACTAGTTATCAATACGTGTTGTTGTGGTTGATAATTTAATTATTTTTTCGGTGTCCGGGCATAACGGTTTTACAAACTAGTTGTTTTAAAGTGTAACAGTGACCTGCATAAATTTATGAGAATTCGTTTTTTTTCTCAATATTTTTTAATATTTCTTTTCTATAAAAAGTAAATGTTGTATGTATTTGATACTCAACGGGAAAAACGATGGACGAAGAACAAATACGTGCACCAACCTACACTGAGCTAATTAAATTAATAAACAGTCTGTAAGCCCAGGTGGACGTTTTACAAAGCACTACGTCAGCAACCTCCACTGGTCCAACTAGTCGATTTGGGAAATCGAATGCGGAGCAAATGTCTCAAATGTAATACCGGGTGATACCAGATCTAAATCAGTCTGTTAAACCGTTTACTGGCAGGGAAGAGCCGCATGTGGCTGAAGATTGGCTCAGATTAGTAGAAAATTTAGCCGATATTAATATGTGGCCGCTGACTTTTAGACTACAGTTCATTCGCACGAATTTGTCGGGAGCAGCTAAAAACTGATTCATCGATAAAAACTTTGTTGATTGGGTGGACTTTCAATGGAAGTTCAGGGGTACGTTGACCTAGGATACTCAAAATTTACGAACATTTTTATTTACTACATAGAACAAAATGTGGGGTTGTCCCATTCGATTGTTTAAAGTTGGTCAAATAAGGACCACCCTAATATATGTGTATACTTAAATGCAGCTAACAAACTCTATCAATTCGCCGTCCTCGTAAGCGCAGAACACATTATAATTTTAGTAATATAATTTTAACAAATATCACTTCTGAAATAAATAGTTACTGTTTAACACTACTCATAGTCGACGATTCGAATTAATTAAACACAACTATTACGTACGAAATTATTTAACAACTATACGTATATTTTACACCAAAACACCACTGTTCAACGACCTCACGCAGAGAGCGTCGCTAAACAATAACTGATAGAATATAATTTTTATAATAACTGATATGAACTGATATGAACCAAACCCAACCAACTGATATAAAATAATAAATATTCACAAGGATGTAAAAAACTAGGCATGGTATATTTTTGACTATCAGTATATTATAGAATACTATAGAATATAACTATACGAAATATTGTTCTGAATAATTCAATTGTAGCATCTATTTAACACCAAGAATTACATAGAAATGATAACTAAGACTTCTATTTTAATGATTTATTACAATAAAAATATAAAAAAAATAGTGATTTTAACGAAATGTTGAGTATTCCTTATAAATTTATTGTTAATTAGAGATGAGGTTTTAGTTATGTTATTTTTATTATTACTTATCACTATGCAGCGTTATTTCTCTCAAACATTATTTTATTTTTTATGTCTTTACGGATGATGTCATTATCATTCTTCTTTATTAATACCGTTCCCTTCAACATTATTTTTAGTTATTACATTTGTTATTTTTAATTAATTAAAACTAAATCAACCAATTAAGATAAATTTATTATAGTGTAATCAGAAATATACTAATAGTATGTAGAATGTTTTAAAAATTCACTAAAAAAAAAAAAAATTCTCATAAATATTAACTTGAATATTATAATCTTTGACGTGTTAAATAATACACTTTTGTATTTGTTGACATTGAATAAATTAATAATCTGAGTACAGATTTATTAAAAAAATTCTAATAATAGTATCAATACTAAACAAAACTAGGTATTTTAGGTATGAATATTAGAATAAATAATAAAACGAATTCAATATTCTACTTTATTTAATTGCACTATGGCTTTTGTTTTTTCATTTATTAACATGAGTCTTGAGCTAATTGTTTTAACAATATCTATAATTCAATATAATGTCATCTCTGTAGATAGTAAAATTACTAAAACGGCATACTTTAATTATTTAACTGAAGTAGTAGATCATATTTGTATTCAAAATGGATGGAAGTCTATGGATAACTTAAACTTAAGTTACTTTACTTTGGATTCGATTGGAATTTCGAGTGTTTCAAATTTAGTGACACAAAATTTCAAAAGATCGGATAATCTAAGTACATTTTACAATATTGTTCATATTTTAAACTATAGGTATAACGAAATACTTTTAATATTCGTGGAATTGTTAAATATTGTTATTGATGAATGTTTAAATTATTATGGTGCTGAACTCTTGATAAATTTTACTGACTGTTCATTTTTACTTGGAAAAGCAATAAAAAATTCATTGACAATGTTTGAAAGTTTATACAATGCATTGATATTTATAAGTTATATTGACTTAAACTTAAGAAACAATAAAATTGTCAATTTCGAGTTAGAATGTAACCCGTTCATTACAGTTGATAACATTTATGAGTTAAAAAACCACAAATATTTTAAAAAAATTCAGAACGAGGATCATTATAATAATCTTCTCGATATTAAAGAGTTCATTGGTGATGTATCTAAATTTGCAAATGATTTTTTCGAGAAAAATAAATTTATAATGGATAATTTTAAGAAATTTAATTTCAAAGCTATATACGAAAAAGTATACATGTCACACGCTGAAGATTTTCTAAGTTTTGTTTCTTTTATGTATAATAAGATCAATTCGTTCTACACAGAAGCCATTATGAATAATTACGAAAATTTTGGATTTGTTCAGTTGATAAATCCAACAGATAGTAAGTAAGTATAAGTTATTTATTAATTTTTAAATTAATTTGAGTCGTTACGGTGGGTGCTTTGCCATCACATATTCTTGATTTTTATTACAAGGTTAAACTGACCACCACCTATTTAATTTTTAGGCTTATTATAAATTATATGTCAATTAATTATTGTCTTATAAACCTAAAAGTTAATTAAAATGTTTAAATATGTTAATTTTAATATGAACATATAATATATTATAATAAAACGTTTACAATAAAACCAAAATATAATTAATTTGTCAAAATATTATTTCAACATAAATTTAATTATCAATAAATTTTTTGAGTTTGAAAAACCACAAAACTATGGTAAAATTTGAAAATAACACTAAAATAAAAATAAGCTTTAACATATCATACCTTGGGGTGTTCTAATAATTAAAATAAATAAACCTTTCTTAACCCACCAAAAAAAAAACCCCAGCACAGGGGGGTCGGGGCACAGTGGTGCCGTGGTATAGTTGGATCAAGTATAATGATATCTGACAGTGATTATAATCACTATCAAAAATAAACGCTTCGATGCAAATCTTTAGATAGTGTTTAATTTTAAAAAAATTGGTGTTTTATTCCAAAAGCTTCTTGATCTGATGGTTCCTTATTAATATCTCGATTAAGACAAAGTATGTCGAATGAAAAAGGGTTTATTAAAAAATATTATTTCTCATAAAAAAATTGGTGTGGATCCATACACTATTCAATAAGTTATAGCATTATAAAGTTAAATATAATATAAAAAATAAAATCGAGAATTTTCACACGAAAATAGTATTCGATAGCCATTTTCACCATGAAGACAAGTCCAGAGGTAAAATTTTTNCACCATGAAGACAAGTCCAGAGGTAAAATTTTTTTTTTTTAAATTAAAGTATATTACATTAGCATTAATTTAAGATATATATAAAAGTGTCAGACCTTCCGGAACATTTTCAAAAGTTAAGTTGAAAAAGTTAATTTTTTGTGAAAAAGTTGTCATTTTAAATCCCCCCATGTGGGTAGATAAAGGGTCAGATTTACAAAAAAAATATACCAAATGATAGGTAAAGACATCAAGCATCTGTA